CATTAACATACCTCAATATTCTCTCGATATGCATTTTTTAAAATGTTTGAATACACTAGGCCAGGGCATATCATTGTGACACCAACATTCTTTTCATGGACTTCTATGTGCAAAGTATTGAAATAACCCTGTAAATGATACAAGTATATTTATTACATACTGGACAGCAATTTTGTTCTAATTTTATAAGCTTTAAAAAAGTAACTGGAGATTTTTCCCTGTAGGAAGTTTACCCCTACAACCTATACAAGTTTGCCCCCTGAAGTAAAAACAATCAGCCCCAAATCATGAATTCACAAAAATTTAGCCTGTAGAGCAGGTGTGATTTTGGCAAGCAAGTGCTTAGTAATTTCATAACAAAAGTTATGGTCCTCATCTTTGATTTTAATGGCAGTGGGAGGCTGGGGAGAGAAAGAAATTTGTACCAGGGGGGAGGTTGATGGTCAAAAATAAGGAGAGGGGTGGGGATGGGGAGTAAAGATTAAACATGGCCAGTAAGATAAATGATGGCATGCTTATAATGTTAGCTCACCATTGTTTGTCTAGTACCCTTTAACTTCCAAGATCTGATTGTTAATTCTCCCCTCTAGCTGCTACACCTTTCCTTCTAAATTAGTTATGAGAATGTGGTGCTAGATCAAGATAGCAGCTTCTACCTGATAAGTTCAAATATTCTCTTTACCTGTTTCCTGAATAATGTTTGGAAAACATAGGGAGAAGTTTCATGTTAATTACTTCTAGGAGTTAAAGGGTTAACCTTCATTCACTTTCCAGAAGTCCTGGAAAAACTTGTTAGTCTGTCCCAAGTGGAATTCTTATTACATGGTTGACCTTACAACCTTTTTTTTTATTTATTTATTTATTTTTTGTACTGAATGGAAGATAGGAAGGATTCAAACTCAGAGTGCTTCGAGTTTCATTAAGAACTTGTTCATATCAGCCCAAGTCTATGAGCAGCCAAACTTGATCAGAATATGTCCAAAAACATATTAAATATTTCATTAAGAAGTCA